AGAGGAGACGAAAGCAGACGACAGAACATTGCTAGAGAGCAAGAAAGGAGGTGAAAGGAGACAAATTTAGAGAAGAAAATTTTTCGGTCACTACCCGAATTCGAACCCGGGACCTTTGAATGAGAGGCCAACACCTTAACCTCCAGGCCACGAGAGCCCCCTTTGCCTGGTTTATCTATCATACTACAATAGGCTGGATACAATTTAAGAGTCTATAAAATATGCTTCGCATTCATAGTCATAGTCATCACTTTCCCCCACCAGACACAGCACATTTATAATAACACAGCTTTAAGTTCAGGTGGTAAATTAGAAAAAGCAGGAAAAAGACATAGAGCCAACAGCAATGCACTTCATGGCCTCAACTTGTAGCTGATGCTGGAGAAAATTGAAGTTAGTACGATCTCTATAAAGTGTCAAACAATTTTTGAAGCACAACAATTTGTACAGCCATTCATGGGACTGTGAGAGCCAATGTCTGGCCACGCATTCACAAGGTGCCAAACTTGGGTTTATAGTAGATGGAAATAGTACAGTAACAGAAAAAACATGTTTTTTTAAAAAAAACATGTTTTTTCTGTTATATAATATGAAAAACTAGCAGGCAAAGGCCTGTTTCACAGACTAGTAGCTGACTCAGGACAAGTTATGTGGAAAGAGAAGAGCAATCATGTACCCATAATTTGTAACTTACACTTATGGAACCTGCCACACTGTGAAATGTGACAATCAAATTTTCTTACATCCCATTTTTAGAACTTGAGGCAGGACAGCAGTAAGTGTAAAGCGGGGATAGAGCTTGCTGTTGGGCAGGGGTATGCGCTATACAAATGCTATTTAAATTATTATTATTATTATTTATTATTATTAAAATCTATATTATTATGGATGCAGTCAATGCACCTGTTGTTGTTGGGTGCTTCACTGTGGTCAGTGGCTTCTCTTGTTTTTTTTATTAGATAAGATTATTATGCAACTTTTCTGTTCTAGGCAAATCTGGTCTAGATTTTATGGATAAATAAGGTTAGGAGTAAGTGTAGTTTTGTTTTAGTTTTAGCAAGAGTTTTTCGGCACTTGCCACACAGTAAGTTCATATGTACATATTCATGAGTGTTGAAGATTGCAGGTGTGACAATAGAGTGACAAATACAGAAAAGGAGGAGGACAGATCATCTGGAATGATAGAGATATCTGACACTACTGAGAAGAAAAGAGAGCAAACCTCAACATGATAGCACCTGCCAACCACGGACGAGGTTAGGACATTTTAGGTTAGAGATACGAAGATAATGATTTCAACATTTAATCAATCAAGCCAGTCTATTCAAACATCAACTTTTCACTCCCGCACACAACGCACTGCTTCGGGGGTCAAACTGCAAGTATTGTTTATTGTTTGTGTTGCAGACCATACACAATAAAGCCATTAAAACTTCCGCAAATCAATTAGTTTCAATAAAATTGTAACCTCAATTAAAAATATCAAATTATGGGTGAAAACAGAGGGGCATGGCCCCCAGTAAACCCCAGATTTTTTTTACTTGTTCTAGGGGCACAAAGCATTTTGATTGGTCTATCTCCCCCCAATCAATTTTTTAAAACTTCTGTGGAGCAGGCCCCCGGAAACCCCTCAATTTGTCCAATGCGCAGAAATTACTATGCAGTTAGGCTTCTTGTGTGAATAGCTCGATTAAAAACCATCGAATATTTCAAAAACTATAAATCAAAATTTGTGACGGAAATGAAGCTGATTCACGTGCATCATCAATGCCATCAAGGCCACATATATATATACATTGTAAAGCTCCTTCCATTTATCTCAGTCCTGGGCCATCCTTCCAAGCTCGTTCAAAGTCAGCTTCACGTTCATGATCTGTCTCTCTAAGCTCCTTTCCACACATTCTCCTCCATGTCTCCCCATGGCCTACACGTTCCTCATGCTCCCTGAGGGTTCCACTGCAGCGACTTGTAATGTTTCTGCTGGGCTTTCTTAAGGTAGTCCCATCCATCGGGACCATCGCCACTTTGTAAGTCCTATTTCTACTTCTAGAGATCTATAAAAATCCTTTTGTCCAGTCCTTTCCCATAGCTCTTCATTTCTTTTTTTTTTAAATCCAGCTGCCATTTTTAAATTCTTAGGATACTCCTGCTCATACATCTGTTCTTGATGAAAGTCTGGACTTTATCCAGTGCTGTAGTTTCGCAGAGCAGTAAAGGCAGAGGAGCACAGACTTGACATTGGAGTTGAAGAGTCGAATCTTGGTGAACAGCGAAATTTTTGCTTGCTTTCTAGACTTTTGATTTGTCTGATTTGAATGCTGACCTTACCTTGGCAGTTCTTGCTTTTTCATCTGCCTCAGCTGATTCGCGTTCAGCACAGAGATCAATATTCAGGAAAAAAATAGACAACAGGTAGGCCTAGAATCTAGATATTTAGATCTAGATTAGATCTAGATTAATCTAGAGAATCTAATCTAGATCTAGATCTAGATAAATGATAAATCTACAACAGATTGTATGAAGTATAAATGAAGTGATTCAGTCCAGAAAAGAGGAATAATTCATGGTGAGAGAGAAGACTGAACGCTGTCACAGTTACAAAAACAGGGCTTGGTCTTGGTTGGCTTGATTAACTTTGATTTAGATCTAGATTCTAGATCTACAGTCAATCAGTGCAGTCCAGTCACTCCTTCAAATCCATCAACCAATCATGTTTTTATTGATCCCGTTTATTCATTGTATACTGTACATTTCCGCGTTGACAGTTCGTCAGTCAGAACGGGCACAACGAGACCCAACAGACTATCATTTTAATTTAAATACATTATAAAAACAACTAGATCTATTGTCTTACCTTGTGACACCCGATTTCGCCTGAACACACTGCTACAGCTGGGGAGATAAAAACCAGTCCGCCTTGCTTTGAGCTTGGGGGCAATAAAAAGTAAAAATGTTTTAAGCGAAAAACAGATGTTGGCGACACGACTTGTTTACATTGACGCAAGAGTGCTCTTTAATGATGTGAGGTAATTTTTTTACCGGCCGGTGTTCGCTGATTCGCATTTTAATTTATGCCGACCGCACTGTAAAGCCAATAAAATTATAATATTGTTTATATAATTTTATAACTGACAATTAAATTGCGGTTATTGTCCTTCTCAGAACATTTTAAATGTTTTAAAGCTTAATATTGACGTTCATGTACGTGTATTTTATGTTAAGATGAAAACGTTGCATAAAGCGCTAAGAGAGCTGTTGGCCCATCGGGCACAAAAGAAATTATATTATACATTAATGTCAATTAATATGATACAAATGAGAAAAATGACAATAGTAAGGATCAGGAAAGAAAAAGCAGCAGTTCCCTGTTGTAGATCAGGCTCACGTTATGAGCGTGACATTTACAATTCTATATTATTATGCTTGAACGAGATATATCCCCCCTTTGGGAATGGCCTAAAGACACTATACAGTCAGTGTCACTGCCCCGGGGGGTATGCTTGCGTTCAAAGGCCTGTACAGTAAACCCTACTGCTGTGGCAGGTAGCACTACAAATAGACTACAATGTATTTGTAGCACAGTGGCGACCGACAGTGGCATTGTTTGTAAACTGTTCTGTATGTGTGTAATAGTGTGTATTTAAGTATGTATTTATGCATGTATGTATTTATGTACGTACGTATTTATAATTATGTTTTTATGTATGTATGTTTGCCATTGTAAAGCAAGTGCCCTTCTGGGACAAATAAAAGTGTAATTTATTATTTTCATTATTTTCATATAAAATTAAATTTCAGGTTCTAATAATTGTCTCTAACGACTTTATTTGGTGGGTCTTTACAAATTCCTTTTACTTTAGTTTTATAATGCACTTCTTCTATTTTTTTTTGGGGGGGGGGGGGATGGATCTGAATCTGAATAAAAATCCTACATACTAAGTCGCAACCCCATCCAGCTAATACTCTGCATAATTCCAGGCTCTAAGAAGATCAATCATGCATGCGTTCTTTTCAGCGGGCAACGATGGTGTAGCGATAATAGGCACTTCGCCATCACACGCAGAAGACATTCGAGTCGAGTAGGGAAAAGGTACTGATAGTACCAGTATATTTCCGTCTTTAGTTTTAGTAGAGGTTTTACAGCGCTCGCAACTGCATAAGGTCATATATGAGCGTCAGAAGATTAAGAAAGAGGTGTTACAATAGTGTAACAATAGATATAAAAAAGAAGAAGGGGAGATAAGGCGGATAGATGTTATATAGGAAAGAAGCACAGAATTCTACACTTAGTGTAGAATTCTGTGGAAAGAAGGAGCAAAACCACACCAGAGCACCCGCCAACCACCCACTATTTCCGTCAGTCTGCTCTGTCTGGGATGTTGTATGAGTCTAGGTCTAGGCTACTCCTCACAGCCCAGGTCGACACTGCAGAAGCAGCCTACCTCCTAACTGATCTGAATTGTATTGATGGAGACGTGAAATAAAATTAAAACCAACAAACTACATGTATCTTTTTGAAGAAAGTGTTCTCTCCCGTGACTCAAAAAGAGAATTATTGTGAGGCAGCACGTGGTGGAATCAGGCTCTCGTTAAAATAATCAAAGTGAAGAAACTTGCATTTTTCCGCAGGTTCATGAATTTTTATCAAATTTTTGTTTTTTGGCTCAACACCTTTCATGCCCATTAAAGAACTCATTTCTGTATTGATTTTTCTGAAAAGCGTTGATTAAAGGCAAAAAAAATGTAAATCATCCGTTACCACGGACTCTTAAGTTAAAGAAATAAATACATTTTGGAGGCCATTTTCTTACTAATTTTACCTCTGAAAACAGGTGACCTCTATCTCCTTCTTTCGCAAATATCTCGACTTGTATTCAAGATATATGGGTATTTTTTTTCTTCCAAATAAAGACAAGTGAACAAGCTTTATGATACCTATTACTCTACATGCCCAAGAATTGACGAGAGCCTGATTCCACCACGCTGCCTCACAATTATTGAGATCTGAATTGTGTTAAAGGGGACGTAAAAAGACACGAACGTTCTATCATTTTAACGTGGCTCTACAGAATATTATTACATGTATCGTAATGTCACACTTTGAAATTCCTTGGGTCAAGGAATGAAGTCAACCTAGCTACAACCTTTGCGATTAGATCGCCATCAACATTTTAGAACTTCTTCTCTAGCTGTTAAGTGTACATTATTATATAGGGCATAGGGCCTACCATTTTCTTCCTCTCCCTATTCAGAATGGGTCTCCAAGAATTGGACTTAAGAGCTCCGACCACCTGTTTCTATTCTGGGCGATCCCCTTTACCTCCAGCCAGCCGTGTCACATTAGTCCTGAGGGTTTTTTTTTTATTTAAAAAATAAATAAATAAATAAATTAATTAATTAATTAATCTTTTAATTATTTATTTATTTTTTTTTTTTTTTTGGGGGGGGGGGGTGCTACTCTGTGGCGACCGGGTGTGTCCACTATTTGCTCTAGGCTTCTGATCTGTAACAAAGAAAGATATATAGAAGGTCGTTTTAACCATCATCTGGCAATATGCTTCCATCTTAACCATCTTGTATAGTATACTTACGACCTCAATTAAATTAGTTAAATTACTTACGACCTTATTCGAGAGCATGCATCAAAATAACTTTAAGTGTGTTTTTATATCGCTGCTCATTTATATTATACGTGTGATTGTTAGCCTACGAGTGTGTGCATGTGTGTGTGCGTGTGTGTGTGTGCGTGTGTGTGTGTGTGCGTGCGAATGTGTACACGTGGTGAAACACCAAACCAATGTGCCCTAATCAGGACAATAAAGATGTATCGTATCTTATCTTAGGTCCACCTCCAGATCTCTTTTCCCAGATGGACCTCAGCCTTCCTCTCTTCTTCTTCCCTTGGGGATTCCATTCCGTGGGCCCACTTAGATTTTGCCTTGTACTAAGCTGTACCATTGCTGACTGGCTTACGGAAGGTGTGGCCAATCCATTGTCATCCTTTCTCAATCTCACATTTAAAAAAAGTTTTAGTACAGGTTTTACAGCGCTCGCAACTGCATAAGGTCATATGAGCGCCAGAAGATTAGAGGTGTTACAAGAGAGTAACAAACATAAAAAAGAAGAAGGGGAGATAAGGACGATAGATGTTTGACAGGAAAGAAGGAGCAAACCACACCCGAGCACTCGCCAACCACCCACAATCTCACATTAAGTAAGGGCTCAAAAAGATAAAAGTCTGATAGACACAAAATATAACTACCCTCTACTCATTGCATTTTTAGAATAAACAGCATCAAGTTAATTGAGACCGAGCTACTCAAAAAAAAAAAAAAAAATTCTCCCTACTTGGATTTCGAACTCATTTTTTTATTTTATAGTAGAGGGTTTTACGGCGCTCGCAACTGCATAAGTCATATGAGCGCCAAGGCGTGGGTGTCAACAGTGAAGTCTTTACAGGGAATCAGACTTAGACTGCTCATCTCTCTAGCTTCAACAGCACAAAGTCTGCTTCAACTATCAAGGCACCTCGGAAATAGCGGGTCACAAGAGCGTGACAAACATACATAAGAAGTAGAGGAAAAATGACATGCAGTAAGGATTGGGAAAGAAAAGCAGCAGTTCCCAGTAGCACAATTATGAGCATTAGGCTATATTGATGAATCAGACCATTTACAATTTCAATTCTACTGTGCATAAGAACTCGAGATATTAATGCACCCCCCCCCCCCTTCTTGGGGATGGCCTAAAGACACTCCAGTCAGTAGCACCGCCCGGGAGGGGAGGGGGAGGTGCAAGTGGCACTTTGACGATAGCATGCACTGTGCATTCTTTTGCATCCTCTGTACAGGCCATAAAAAGGATTACAATGCAGTACGTCTTTAGTTAGTCATCACCATTTTCACCTTACTTCTCCTACAGCTGTCCCTGTCGTTTTAAGCAAGAAAAATTATGAAATTATGCAAACTGAGCCCAAAAATGTGAAATTATGCGATTCTGTTTATTATAACAGAGAATTATTAAGGAAAATAATCAGGAATTATGCAAATAATGATCAAATTTTGCTAAATTATGCGGGGTGCATAAAACCACGGGGACAGTCCTACAGCCCTCGTAATACATGTACTCTTGGTCAATCGAAATCCCATCTCTGAAATATCGTTCATGCATTCAAAGACAGGTAACAGTAAAAGTTTTTAAAAAATTCAATCATTCTTAGGGTGTCCTTGTACATGCGTACGGAGAAAATGCCTTTATCTGTACAAATATTTAAAGTTTTAGTAAGAGTTTTACGGCACTTGCAACACAATAAGGTCATATAAGTGCCGAAGAATAGATTATGCGTTACAAGAGAGTAACAAACACAAAAAAGAAGGAGGTGAGATAAGGACGACAGATGTTTGATAGGAAAGAAGGAGCAGACCACACCAGAGCACCCACCAACCGCCCACGTACAAATATGACTGTCTATTCTTTTGGCACAGAGAGAAACGGAGGTCCATGACCGCCCACGCCAGTCGACAAGGCGGCACCGGAAGATGAGGATTCTTTACGCAAGCAACACAAGACAACAAAACAGTCAGAGGAAATTGGAATCAATAACATCAATTTATTTCTCAATTATTCAACCACTACAATCCAACATAAAAATAAAGAAACATAAACCGGCAGCCACCTACCTATATACACAACTACTGACAAGGTGCACCAAAAGAGCACTAAGAAACTGAAGCTTTTCGTCAGTATATTCATCAACGCTGTCGCAAGCAATCCACTTTCAGTACAAATTTTGATTTTTACACCCTCCCAAAGCTATATATATATCAAAGATGTACCTTTCCACATCCCACAAATGCAGTTTACTTCTGTGGTCAAGGCTTAAAATTTTCTTGCGTTTCAAGATGCCTGATAGGAACAATACAGCAAAAACTAGTTACAAAATGTACTTTGTTTTATTTTTGCCTCGGATGAAAAAAACCTAAAATGTACCCAAACAGACTTTAAGTGAATTGCTT